GTTACACATCTGTCTGACATTATTCGTGTAACACAACTTTTAAATCTGATTCGTACTTTTAGAGATATTAAACATTGTTCAGACCTTGGTAAAGAGGCCTTCTTCTTTTTAGAGTGCGTGATGTCACAGCTAGAGTGGAGGACAGATTTAATTTTGCCTTCATATTTTCTTTTAAACCTGCCATAATTCCCAAACCCTACATTCCTGAGACATAATTTAGAAACGTAAGAAAACATCTCGTAGCTTGAAAAATTTAATTTAATTAAGCAAACTAATTAAACAAAATGCCTCTTGAGGGCATGAAGTGACAAAAACTTTCAACATGTCTCCATTAAACCCCATTGTAAATTCAGCCTCATCTTTCCCCACCACAGCAGCCGCACACCTTTAGTTAATCTGCCAAAAAGGCCACATTATTAAACCGAAAGTACACAAAAAGTACACTTCAGATGCTCAAGTACCTTGACATGCTTCACGCTTTTAAATTTCAACGATATCTGTTACGGTTCTTCAACAAAACGTTCACATGTAAGAGGTTTATCTCTCATTCAGAACAATGAAAATGCTCTGCTCTCACTGATCACCATGGAAACCTTTGATCTCTGGACAGCTCAAATATAAACACCTGTGTGTGTGTGAACACGATGATGTCATAACTCCAACTGACATGCTCAGAGCAGCAGACTTCAGATAATGGTTAATGGTCCTGCCCTAAACAGCTCTACGTCAATTATGGGGTGTCATCATATGCCGTTTCCATGGAAACGCATCCCTCGCCATAAAACACGATGTCGCTGTAACTCCAATGGACACGGTCCGATCGTCCCCCAAACTTCGCTTGTATATCACCGTTCCATGCCTCAACAGCTTTACGCCAAATCTGACATCTCACCATATGCCGTTTCCATGGAAACGCATCCCTCGCCATAAAACACAATGTTGTCGTCACGCCTATGAAAAGGGTCAAAACAGCACCACACTTCAGATAATGGTTAATGGTCCAGCCCTCAACAGCTCTACGTCAATTATGGGTTTCCATGGAAACGCATCCCTCGCCATAAAAGACGATGTCGCTATAACTCCTATGTTCAAAAAGTGCTCAAACTTCACATGTGTGCTAACAGTCCAGCCGTGGGACAGTTTTGAGATTTCTTCAAATGCCGTTGCCATGGCAACACAATGCTCGCCATGAAACACGGTTTTCTCATAACTTCAGTGAAAATGCTCAAACGGCCCAAAACTTCACAGGTTTGGTAACGATGCAGCCATCAACGCATCTAAGCGTATTATGGGATGTCATCAAATGTCGTTGGCATAGCGACAGATCATTCGCCATCAAGTTAGTTCAAAAGTTTGCAGTTCAAATATTCTGCTGCTTTTCCAAGCCTTATTACTTTCTTTTCTTCTCTCATCACACATTCAAGCCCCCAGTGTTCATGTATCATTTAAATCTAAATTCTTCACTTTCTTCTTACACATTACATTTCAGCATAGCAGTTTACGATACGATACGATACGATATTACTTTATTTGTCAGATCAAGTCTGAAATTTGACTTGCGTCACAGCAGCTCCATGTCCAACATCAACAGACAAATATCCAGACACAAATACATGAAACACAAACAACAAACATTTAACATAACAGCACAATCAGTGAGAGAAAACATGCTCAAAGAGCCTTCAGCGTGCATTTGATCTGGGATTTAGCTCTGTATTTACTGAGAGGATTGACTGATGCACAAAGGAGTGCTTCAGTCTGACCTTATTGAATCGTGGGACCCTGTATCTCCGATTAGATGGTAGCAGTTCATATTCACTGTTCAGAACATGGTTTGGGTCAGAGATGATGTTGTTGGACAGCCTCACTAGGTTGTTATGATAGGCTGAGTCATAGAGTCTCTGACAGGGTTGACCAACAATCTTTGAGCAGATTTTTAACAGGTGGAGCAGTTTTGATTTTAAAGCTGCTGACAAACATTTGTACCAGGTAGTATTGCAGTACTGTAGAATGGACATGATCACAGATGTAAAGAACAACAGAAGAATTTCTCTGCTCGCCCCAAAAGACCTAAGACGGCTGAGAAAATTAATTCTTTGTTTTGTCCTTTTGCACAGATATTCAATGTGATCCTTCCATGACAGCAGATGGTCAATCACGGACGGAGCAACTGAGACGCGGTGCACAGCCGAGCAGCGCACTTCACGCAACCGGATGTGTTTAGCGTCAGCTTTTCAGCATAAAGCATTCCCACTAGCAATTTCTTCAGGAATTGCATTCTCTAGTTTACATTTGTTGTCCTCATACCTTGTTCCAGTAAGACACTAACACTTGTGAAACCTCCTTCACTGTCACAAGTTCAATCACAAGTGAAATGTACATGGTGTAAAAATGAGTCAACAAAACAGGATGTTGTGGTCGAAACTTAGTTTCATTTGAAGAATCACATAGGGGTGACAAAGAGTTCATCACTTTAATCTTTCCACCCGCTCAAAGAAAGGTAAATTGTTGCTGGTACTTGCTTTGAAAACAGTTTTCAATGTCATTTATTGAATTGACCTTATCTATTTTCTGGTGTCTACATTCTCTGTTGGCTCTGCTTGCTAAGTATATCCTGCTTTACTGAACAAAAGGGAATGTTAACATTTGCATGCTACAATTATTGTGAAGTAGAACAAAGTATATTGCTTATTGTATGGTCCACAACAGGTTTGTGGGTTTGTGTGTGTTTGCACCAATGATTGAGTGGGTGTGCTTTTTCTATTTTGCAGTTTTTTCATTTTGAAATATAGAACCTCTGAATGTACTGTGAGGTTTTCACCACCAGAGGGAAGCATATCATCAGTTATAATGAGCTATTCAATTAAAACAATACACAATACAAAGGTGTCACATTCCAAAATATATTACATCAGGGCTCTAGGAGAGAAGAGAAGAGATGATAGCTTATTTCTACTAGGACTATTTCATGTATTTTATTAAAATGGTATGGGTTTTATAGATCTGAAAAATTCTCCCCATTTCAAATACAAATGTTTTGTGATTGTACTGAGACAAAAAATATCTAATGAATATACTTTGGACATACTTTTTGATCATACAATCTTAGGCTTTAAACTTGTACCATCAGTATACAATTTTAAGTTCCCCCACAATTATGCAATTATGACGTATAAACCATATATTAATATACATCATTCATAAATAAAATATGTCATATATATACAGTGCATCCGGAAAGTATTCATACCCTTTAACTTTTTTCACATTTTGTTATGTTACAGCCTTATTTCAAAATGGATTAAATTCATTGTGTTTCTCAATATTCCACACATAATACCCCATAATGACAAAGTGAAAAAAGTTGTCAGGATCAAGGGAAAGATGCAATATACAGAGAGATCCTTGATGAAAACCTGCTCCAGAGCGCTCTGGACCTCAGACTGGGGCGAAGGTTCACCCTTCAACAGGACAATGACCCTAAGCACACAGCCACGATAACAAAGGAGTGGTTTCAGGACAAGTCTGTGAATGTCCTTGAGTGGCCCAGCCAGAGCCCAGGCTTGAACCCGATTGAACATCTCTGGAGAGATCTGAAAATGGCTGTGCACCGACGCTCCCCATCCAACCTGATGGAGCTTGAGATGATCTGCTAAGAAGAATGGGAGAAACTGCCCAATAGGTGTGCCAAGCTTGGAGCATCATACTGAGTAAAGGGTGTGAATAATTATGTTTATGTGATATTTGAGTTTTTTATTTTTAATTCATTTGCAAAAATTATTTTAAAACTTTTTTCACTTTGTCATTATGGGGTATTGTGTCTAGAATGTTGAGAAAACAAATGAATTTATAAATATGGCTGTAACATAACAAAATGTGGAAAAAGTGAAGGGGTATGAATACTTTCCCGATGCACTGTATGGCTGTCGTGAGTCATTTCATGACTGCACTCAGAGCATAACACCCTCACAGTTACAAATGTGTAAGCCATCTGTGTATACATCCACAAGCACACACACTCTAGCTCAAACACCAACACACATACACAAAGGCAAGCATGCACGGCAGAAATAGCTCTTATGGACCACTACTTTACATTTTATGTTAACCAGCCGTCCAATAATACACACCTACTTGTAAAGTCTCCTACTCTTCTTCTGTATGAAGAGCTGGATGCCACTAATAGGTTTAACCTTTCCTTTTGTTCTAAGCAAAGCAGGCGGTACTGCCTCTTCAGCCTAAGCCACCAGAGTGCAAGTAGATAGACCTAATAGACAAGCAGCCACACACTGCCTATTAACTGTTTCCTTTTTATTCATAGATACGGATTGACACACTGGGAGTATATAGCTTTCAGGGGGAGCCAAGGCCAACCAAACAAACCACAATGGCAGCAATAATTAGTTCCTCTTTTACATTTCCTAAAAAGTAATTAGGTGAATGACAGTCTGTCAGTTTGATGTTATATTTCAGAAATAGTTGCAGGGTTGCAGTAAGCAACATGTGATGCATTGCAGCAACATCCAATATATTGTTCCAGTAATCTCCATAACAGAATGCATTGAAATAGAGAACACAATTGATACTTTACCTTTTGAGAGTTGGTGCAAGGCTTGATATGACAGTAACCAGATGAAACACAGGATGCATTTATTTTATTTTTATCTCAGGTTAAAAACCTGTTATGTTTCCTACATCATTTTACTCTTTGTATGTCATTTTACTATTGCTGTCTTTGAGCAGCTGTGACAATCTTATTTGCTGTCTATGACATTACATTTATTTTGCCTACTCCTACAGTATGGCTATTTTATTGACCAATTGTGCATACTTTAATAGTTGATTATATGTTTTCCATTCCCTCTCCAAAAGTAGAAAAGTATTATAAATCGATGCTTCAATATTTAAACTACTTTGGACAGTTGTGAAGGAAGCATCCCAGGCACCGTGATATAGATGCGAAGGATGTGTGGCGCATGCGCCTTGTGAGAAGAGCAGAATCGTGGCTCCGTTAGCATCCAGGACTAGCAGACTGTTTGGGGAACACCGTGTGGAGGAAGGCGTCCTGCGCACTGTAGGCAGAAATATATCAGCGACTTCAAATATCCCCAGCTAATCCTTTAGCTAACCATTATCCCTCCATGCTGTTCGAGAAACGGAGATAACGATAATAACATTGCACTGCCACCTGAATTAGCCACCGTGCAATACTGATAAGGTAAACTGCGTTTTGCGTGAGGGGTCCAACGTTACGTTTTAGGCATAACCCGTTTTATGTTCGGAATGTTAAAAATATAGCTGTAACCCCGACCAACGTGACTTCTTGCAAGAATGAGGTTACCGAGTAAGAGACGATGTGCGATAGAAGAAGATGGAAAGAAGATGGACCAAGCTCCACCGTTCAGAAACCCTTTTGTGCACGTCTTGAAATTCTCCCCTCTGGAAAAGGCAAAGGTAAAATTATGTTTGCACGAAAATGCTTTTCTCTAGTCCTTGTATGTTAACATGTGGCTTTGGTAGTTTGTAGAACACAGTGGAGAGGCTGTCACCATCATTTAACTTGGTTTGTCCTGATTGCATGTACTCAGCTGAGCTCGTATTAGTCAGCTAGCCAGCTAACAGTACTAACAGTAGCCACATACATGTTGCTTTCACTCTCCTGTCTTGTTTGTTTGCTGCTTTGCTTTGATGTTGCCGAAAAGGGATGGGAGTCTTGTTTTTTTCTTTTACGTTTAGCTGCAGCAGCTGCTTGTATTTCACATAAGTATTTATACACCATGAAGATCAACACAGTCTCCATCCAGGAATGTGCTAACAACCCACTGGAATGAAATACAGAATTTGAGTATGGCCGCCTGTGGAGAATGGGCCTAGCTTGTTGCTCTTTAACTGTTATCATGTGCAGCTATACGAACATGCTGTGTTGTAGCTTCAACCTTTTTTTTATGTGCCATTTATTGTAAACACGGGGACCTTGTGTTGTTTCCATTGCATCTTTTCATGTTTTAATGGTTATCACTGTGCGTCCCACTTAACCACCAAAGAACAAGTGTGAATGTTGAGAATGGGATAAAAAAATGACAGTCATTCATGTCCCCCTCATCTATGACTTGTACATTCCCTGGTAAAGGTTCACACGTTTTGTCATTAGTCATATGATCACCATTTTGCAACATAGAGCAGATATTCAGCCCAGTCATCGGTGTTGATAATCAGATTTTAAGCTTTCTGCAAAAGGTGATATGGTGCAGGATACTACAAGCTTCCAGACACTGATTTCAATATTTTTGAGCTCAATTGCTATAAAAGTGTTTAATTGGAATTAGGGCTGCACGATATTGGAAAAAACTGACATTGCGATTTTTTTTCCCCCTGCGATATATATTGCGATATGAAAACAGAGGAATTGAAGAAAAGACAGTTTTTTTTCCCCACAAACCATCCTTTCTTGAACTTTAATGCTGTACAATTGGTATTTTTTTAACTATATTTAACCGGATGAAGGATTTTAGTCACGGACGTCTGGATCTTAAGTTATCGTGTTTGAATGAATTTGCCTACTTAATATCGCAAGTCCTAAAAAGAAAATTACAAAAAAAAATGTAATCGCACGTCCACGCGATGTGAATATCGCGCATGCGCATAACGCGATTATCGCCACGACACGATATATCGTGCAGCCCTAATTGGAATGCAGCCTGTAGAGATATAACAACACAGCGATTAAAATAAAAAGGCTACTTTATCTAATTGAAATTGCCAACTTGAAAGTTACAATTGTCTTTCGTGACCACATTGCAACATTTCCCCTTATGTACAGAATAGATGAAATGTGTGTTTGTGTTGTCTATCCACAAGCCATGGTTTAGCATTGAGTAATATAACCTGGTTCAGTGAGACATAGATTTGTACAGCAATAGAGCTACAGACCATGGCCATATGTTGTTTCCATGGGCTCTGTCCCTGTTAATCAATATATACTAGGCATTCTTCTTATCATGTCAGAGTATGTGGAATACCTCCTTTAGGGAAAAGGAAACCAAAAAGTCAGATGCATTCTTAGATATGACTTAGTGCACTTGTATCACCTATAGATCTTAAATAAATAAACAAAAGTATGAAATCAGATCTCCAAAATCAGATTTCCTTCTCTTTGTAGAGCTTCCAATACAAAACAAATTGAAAGCAGCTTTTCAAATTGGCAGTTGTATTGATGTCCCTCAGTGTGTGTCTTGTATTTGTTGTAAGTACAACAACAGAAAAGCACAGTCATTTATTGTATATCACCAAGCAAAATGCTTATCACATAGATCAGGCAAGTACATGGGGTTTAGTGGGAAGTATTGGAACACATCTGTGAGGTATTTTCAATAGAAAGGTCAAGTCCAATGGGAGAGCTTGAGTTTTATGAATGGCAGCACTGGAATAGAAGTTATAACCGAGAATCGTGTTACGGGTAATAGTCACCTGGGGAGGCTCACACACATTACTTTCCTTCTGGCTGTTTTGACAGAGACTGGAAGGAAAAAGGTAGAATGTCAGGTTGATCAAAAACAAATAAATAAGCAGGCTTTCATCTGTAAGACTTGTATAAGAAAATCAAGGAAGTTATAAACAGAGCAATACAGCAAAAAAGCTTTCCTGCAGTACGTATGTATGTTGCAACTTTACTTCAAAGACTCAAACACTAAGTGCAGAAGCAAAGCAGGTCATGGGTGATAATGAGTATCCTAGTTCTTCTGATGTAAATGAGAACTTATATTTGAACACTTTGCGCTGGTCTTGCTTTCACATCCGCAGCAACATGAGGAAGAAAAAATGTGAACCAAAACACTGAAAACCAGAACAAATAGTGATAGTTCTGTCTCTGGTTGACGAGCCGACTGTATTAACATTCAGGTAAATGTGTTACCAATTTGTGTTTATGATTTGTTGTGCATGGCTGGAAGCCAATAGCGAACCAGGTTAAAGTTCAATGACGGGTATAAATAAAGCCACGCCTCCAATGGGAGTGTTCGTTGAATGAAATGCCACTGTCTCGGATGCTTCGTTATTCCTCCGCTTATTTGGATGCTAAACAGCAATGAACGTAAAGCTTACTCTGTTAACAGGTTATGGGCCCAGAGACACCCAAATAAGTATTTCCGGCGTTTGTCCACCGATGGAAAGTCGCAACGTAACACGTGTAGTGGATTAGCAAGCTAAGCTAACGCCATGAGCAGGTTGGCCGCAGGTTCCAGTAGCCGCTGGTCTCGGCTAGTGTTTGACGGGGATGAAAAGAACTATGAACTGTGGGAGACTAAATTATTGGGCCATCTTCGCTTACAGGGACTGAGGAATACTATTTTAAGGAGGCCTACGGACATAATCGAGGAAGATGAAGAGGTGGACGATGAAGGGAAAAATTAAGAGGCTTATGCAGAGCTTATCCAATTTCTGGATGACAAATGTTTGTCCCTTGTAATGAGGGAGGTGGCGGATAATGGTCGGCAGGCATTGAAGTTTTTAAGAGACTATTATGCTGGCACAGGTAAGCCACGTATTATCAGCCTATACACTGAACTGACTCCTTAAAGAAAGCCTTTGCACTTTTCCAGTCGATGGAGTCCATGATGTTAGAGCGAGACGCTGGAGAAGTGCTCCTGGATACCCATAAAGTAAACGAGCAGTTGTTGAACGGGACGATGAGCGACGAGAAAAAGTTGAACGGGACGATGAGTGACGAGGAAAAGTTGAACGGGACGATGAGCGACGAGGAAAAGTTGAACGGGACGGTGAACGACGAGGAAAAGTTGAACGGGACGATGAGCGACGAGGAAAAGTTGAACGGAACGATGAGCGACGAGGAAAGGTTGAACGGGACGATGAGCGACGAGGAAAAGTTTGGGTCGGTGTGCTATGCCTATAAGCAAGACAAAAAGAAACTGGACTCAAGGTGTGAAAAAGGAATTTTTGTTGGATATGACAAAAATAGTCCAGCATACATGGTCTATTTCCCTCACAGTGGAAAAGTGCAAAAATCTAGACTTGTGAAGTTTGTGACCAAGACCAATGCAGAAAGAGAAACACAAACAAAAACCGTCTCTGATGATGACTTTGAGGTACAGAACAAATCTGGCAAAATCAAGCGCGATACTAACGTTAGTCCAGTATCTATACCTGTGGTAACAGAGACAGAAGACGACAACAGTGAGCTTAGGCGTTATCCTTCAAGAGTGAGGAAGAAGCCAGCTTACTTATGTGACAGTGTATGTGGTAAGGAAAGTGAGGATCAGCTACTGACAAATATTGACTATTGTTATAGATTAATGTGCAATATCCCTTTAACATTTAGGGAAGCTGTAACTTCATCTGAGTCAAAACAATGGGTTATTGCAATGGATGAGGAAATGCAATCACTAAAAGAAAATGACACATTTATCCTGACCAACTTACCTCAAGGTGAGAAAGCAGTGGGGGGTAAATGGGTGTATATCAAAACCAATGTTGATGGGTCCGAAAGATACAAGGCACGATATGTAGCCAAGGGATAGAGTCAGAAGAGGGGTGAAAACTATGATGAGACATTTTCACCTACCGCTAACCTCACCAGTATCAGAGTATTAATGCAAAAAGCAGCACAGGAAAATCTGATTTGACACCAAATGGATGTTAAAACTGCTTACCTACATGCACCAATAGACTGCATTGAATTGAAAGTTGTTAAAAAGATGCTCACAGCTAAATTCAGGATGAAAGACTTGGCATTGATTTTGATCAAACTGATTCATGTGTAAAGATGTCACAGAAGAAATATGTGAACAAAATACTTGAAAGGTTTAACATTCAGGATTGTGTAAACCAAGAGCGACACCTTGTGAGCAAAAACTGAACTACTTAGATGATGCTGTACCGATGAAGGATGTTAGAATGTACAGAGAGGCAGTAGGTAGCCTGATCTACCTGGCTATGTGCACAAGACCTGATTTGAGTTTTGTTGTCAGTAAACTGTCCCAGTATTTTTCTGAGCCGACAGAAGAGCAATGGACTACTGTAAAACATGTACTGAGATATTTGAAAGGTACAATCGACAGGGAACTGTGTTACCGGAAATGTAAGAGTGAAAAACTGGGCTTACAAGTAGGGGTGCAACAACTAATCGACTTAATCGGTTAAAATCGATGACCAAATTAGTTGCCAACTAATTCAGTCGTCGATTCGTTGGTGACGTCATCACGTGTGTTTTACGCGCCGTTAAGCTCCAACGTTATCGGTCTTTTTATCGGTACTGGAGACATTTAAAAAATATATGTCATATGTATTATTGCTACATAAACATTATATCACAGTCTTAGTGTCGCCAACTCGTTTCTAATATGCAAAAAGACAAAGAAATGCGTCAATAGCCGCGTTCACACCAAGTACTTTGCCGTACTCAGTGCCGGCACTCAGTGCCCCGGCACTTATTACCCCAG